TTTATAGACTTCCATATACATATATTATCATACATCCAATTATAGTGCTCCAGAAATTAACTCCCATTCCTCAGTAGGGTACACACAGGAGAACCTGATGCTAGTAAATTTAAACGCTTTTTCCCCATAATTTTTTCAGTTTTGGTACTGCATCTAGTCCGCGTCAGAGTTCAGACCAAAGTCCGGGTCCGGAGTCCCGTCCGGTCTGGTTTCAGTGCGTACCCAATCAAATACACTGTTACAAAAGCAACGAGGTATCCCATTGGGCAAATTATTGAACGTATTTATAAATTTTTAAGAACATATATTTTATTTTATGAACACATATCTTTATTTTTTTGAAACAAAATTTTGTGTGTATGAATATATATTGAACTTTTCATGAATATATATTTAACGTTTCATGAATATATATATATAACTTTTATGAACAATTGTCTAATATTATGAACAAAGATTTCGTTTGAATGAACAAGTATTTGTATATATATATATATGAAAAATCATTTGTTTTTATGAACATTTATAATTTTTTTAAGCACAATTATTTTTTTATGAATAATTATTTATGTTTTATGCATATATATTTTATTATATGAACACAGATTTTGATTTTTTGAATATATATTTTGTTTTTTTGAACACATATTCGTTTTTACGAACAATTATTTAATTCTATGAACATATATTTTATTTTTTGTGAATATTGCAACGTTTGACACGCCATAATTTAGTATGACGATAAATTTTCACTTCTGTACTCGTACTCTGAACAACAAATTTATTAATTTTGTAAAAAATGTTTACTTGCGTACTCCTAACAACAAAATTATTATATTTAAATTTACCTGTGTATGTTGTTTTATTTAACATTTTGTACTACTTGTAACGTTTATGTAATATAGGCACCTACGTTTTAATATTGTATTTATATTGTGTCATAGATCAAAGTTATTCGTTCAGTGTTTGTTTACTCGTCTTTGTTTAAATGTCGTTTTGATCGAGTTAAGCCATTTCAATTCATATTTTATAGTGTGTTTTTTTATATTGTAATGTTACACTATTGTCTCAGGTTGGGGTGAAGGTTGACGCCTGTTAAAACATTTAAACCCGCTGCATTTTATGCACCTGTCCTAAGTCAGGAGCCTGTTGTTCAGTGGTTGTCGTTTGTTGGTGTGGTTCATAGGCGTTTCTCGTTTCTCGTTTTTTATATAGATAAGACCGTTGGTTTTTTCTGTTTGAATTGTTTTACACCAGTCAATTTGGGACCTATTATAGCTTGCTGTTCGGTGTGAGCCAAGGCTCCGTGTTGAACGCCGTACTTTGACCTATAATTGTTAACATTTTATACATTGTGACTTGGATGGAGAGTTGTCTCATTTGCACGCATACCCCATCTTCTAATTTATACAAACTATGTTTAATGTCACAGATCCTTAAATTTTTTTACATTACCGAAAGCGAATTATCACCGGATTTTTACTTGCTTTGCAACACAACAGCTGCTACATGTTGAGAAGGATCTGTGCTTACTCTTCCGTAGCACCTGAATATAAGTGTTTGGTGGGATCGTATTGCTCAGTCTCTATTTTTTCAACATGAGGTTTTCTTATTGTTGTTCGTCTTTTCGTCCTTTTATTGTTTTGGCCATAGTATTGCCTTTTATTTAACACAATTTCTGAAGGCCCCTTTGGTATAGTTTCTCCTTTTTTAATAGTATACAGAAATGTTAAAACAATATTCATTTTAACAATGCATTTTAAAAGGTCATATTTATTTATCTAAACCTTTTGTGCTATGTTAGAAATAAAGCTCTCTTCCAGAGCACCAGGGTTCACCCAAGTGTGGGGTTCATTTTGCACTATCATTAGTTTTCTGTATAATGTGTTTGTGTTATTGTTTGTCTTTCCGTCGTTTTTTTTTTTGTCACATTATATATGAAAAGGATATTGGGTGTAAAGAAAGGTCACATATGATATATGAGATTATCAGTTTATATATTGAATTCCTTATTAAAATCTCTCAAATATGGATAATCATCAAAAAAGTTTTGTAAAAATAACTCTGTGAACAAGGGCCAATCAATCATAAAAGTTGGAAATATTTACCTCACTTTCCGTTTCGGCAATGCAAATATGACGTCACATGGTCATATCCATTTTTTTATAAGAAATACTGAAATCAGAATATAAACTTATGTTTAACTGTTGGGCATTCAATATTATTTTAAAAGATTTGTGTGATCCAATGAACAATAAAAAAAGCGTATAGTACTCGGGGTACATTATATGTCTTTGGGACAAGGATATTAGAATATTACAGAGACAATAATGTCTGCTCAGTATTTATTTCTTTCAAAGGTCGTAACACCTACTTAGATGGACGATTCAAATATAGATTATATTGCTAACGTGATAGTAACCTATCCTCAAACCATGTCTTCACAATATGGTTTACATTCTAAGTTGATGCCATGTGCAAGCCTGAAAGCTCTCTCCTTATGGGGATCAGGTATTATTATGTACATCATGTCCCAGTGGGAAATAAACAAATAGAAAGATCTTTTAACTATTCGGAGACCTACATCTAGAATACATAGTACAAAAAATGCAAAAGAGAGATGTGATAAACAAAGGTGATACTAGAATACGTAGCATCATATAAATGGAACTATTGAGCACTTTCACAGTTGCCGTTAAATAAGGCAACAGTAGTATACCGCTGTTCAAAAGTCATAAATCGTTAAGCGTCTTTACCACCTGGCTCTAAATGTGACAATTAGAAATTAGAATGCAGGTCAGAGTAATTGATGGCCTAGTTATATCCGTGATATATTCATTGATGGGAAGATGAATACTATCAACATAATCAAATGTTATCATTATTAATTATAAAGCAAAAAAACATCATATGAATCGAGGACCATCAAATAAAATTTATCTGGCTAACTTTTATTTGTTTTGATTGGCCTCTATTAATCTTGGTGCAAGTAGTCAGTGTTTCGGTACTGGCATGAGTTTTACAAACATGACATGAGTTTACTGGCATGAGTTTTACACATGACATGAGTTTACTGGCATGAGTTTTACAAACATGACATGAGTTTACTGGCATGAGTTTTACAAACATGACATGAGTTTACTGACATGAGTTTTACAAACATGACATGAGTTTACTGACATAAGTTTTACAAACATGACATGAGTTTACTGACATGAGTTTTACAAACATGGCATGAGTTTACTGACATGAGTTTTACTATTGTAAAATTCCCGGGGGCAAATTATAAAAATATTTTAACAAACTAAGGTTCCAACTTCATCAGGCAAAGTTGACCTTAGAGAATTTAGCTATACATTCTAGACCAATATTGGTCTGATAACTCCACAGTTTTGACATGTTTATAAATCCTTATTTCTCAAATATTTGATTTGAACATTCCTGGTGTAGATAACTCCAGAAAATGGCATCGAACAAACCAAATTTATCAGGTGTCATTTTCATAACGGATACTAGAAGGTTAGAGAAAGGAGCACAGCTGCTATCTACCGGAATGCCAAATGACTGTTGAAAAATATTACTTTTAATCAATACAAATATGGTGTCACTCAAAACTCAAAAAAAGCTACTCCATGAAGAAAGTCGCACACTTTATGTACCAGCGTTCATGTAGTTAACTGATATTTATCGAAATTTCTGATATTGTTCTTAGTTTTATTTCAATGAGTAGTGAAAGTAGATTTGATTTTATGTTTTCTTGTGAAGAATATGACATATGAATGATAAATGTTAATGGCATAAGTGAGATGTATACTTACAGAAACAACATTAACAATCATGCATGAGCTATGTAATTCACAAGTAAGGTTTTATATGAATAACTGTTTCCTTTAAATTACCTAGTATATTACTAAATATATAATAGAGGTAAGCAGCATTTTTTTCTTTTTTATCACTTTTCAAGGTGTCTGATCTGATCTGATCTGATCTGATCTGATTATCTTATCTTATCTTATCTTATCTTATCTTATCTTATCTTATCTTATCTTATTACATATCTTTTCATAATATTTCACCGTGATAAAGCCAACATTGAAAATACAAATCCTTCATTTTATACTACTTTAAATGATTGAAAATTACACATTGTATGTAACATAAATTATGAAAATAAAATGAAGTATGATTGCCAATGAGACAACTCACCACCAGAGACCAAATGACGGAGATGTGAGCAACTATAAACCACTGAATTACAGGACCCTGACTGGGGATAGACACATACAGAATGTGGTGGGGTAGACATTTGTGTGAGCACTCATTCAACACTCCCCTTAACCTGATGCAGTAGTGGAACAGCACAGAATAGAAAAAGAAATTAAATAGAAATCAGATGAAAAGACTTTAAAAGACAAAATTTACTGATCAAAGAGAACTTGTAGTTCAGAAAGCTAGTTGCTTCTTTGTTTACACGCCATTAGTTCACAATAGTCACTGAGTGCATTTTGTTTCTTTAATTTTCAATAGGCTTAAAAGAAAACATCTTTTTATTCCAGTACTTTGTGTTCATTCTCGTCAACATTGCTTAATTTAAATGATTCTATGTAATAATTGCAATAGTTCAGACCAAAAGTTTAACGTTGTCATTAAATAGTTTATAAATGATGCGACGCTATCTTCTGTATTGACTTACAAACAATCTAATACTTATAGTTTTTTAGATTCTAATACGGTACATCTAATCGTTAATTACTTATGTTATGATTATGGTGATTATTTCATAACTATGAGTATAAGGTCACCTTAAAAATAAAGTTATCTTTCAATTTTATTTGACTAAAATGCAGTATCTAACGAAGAAAAAATAAATGTAAAAAAATCACTCTTCTGCTAATTTTGCTGAATAATAGAATACACAACGAACATTCAATTTACTGCATTAACACAGTAAAATATATTTTCATTGAATTTATAACTAATCAATATTCCAATAGAACAACCAATGTGAATATAAGGATGTGGCAAGTTATTAATGAACATCATATAAGAATGCTTGACCATCAACCTGGTTACAAACTAACAACTGATTCCTTCTATCACTGAAATGAATGCAATACGGATCCCTCGGTCCACTGCTTTTGTCTAGGATACGTTTACTTTGTTGCCCGTCTGCTGATATCACCGTGACACCACCAGCATTATCTGCAGCAAACACTATACCATTCAATCCACATGTAATACCACGCACTGCCGACAGTAAATAAGATGTTACTGTCCACTGAATGTTGCCTTGTCTATCACAACAATTAACGCTTCTCTCTTCTGACTTCGGATAATAAATCTGACCGGAGTTTCCTACGCATAGATATAATGTTGAATGGCTATCAAATTTAATGTCTGATATCAATGTTCCCGATAATGTTATAATTCTAATACCTATATTTCCACAACGTAGGAATAATTTGTCGTGTTTGTATGCTATTCCATATACTTTTTCAGAAGACGTGTAAAAGGTGTCTAATTGCTCGTTCTTGGTATTGAAGGTGCAAACTTTCTTTTCTGCAATAAACGAAATTGCAACAATATCATTACATATATATGTTATGTCGTAAGGTTTCCATGGCATTTTAAATTCTTTAATTCGACCCCCACTTTGATTGTACATTAGAATTATGTTGTATGTCTGATTTACCAACAATATATCACCATCTGGTACAATCTCACACCCAGCCAATTTGCAATTCTCACTTTGAACTTTGAACGAAGTATTTTTCTTCAATGTAATTGAGTGTATATCTGAAACGCATTTTCTACTTTTGCAAGGTAATATTATCTGAGCCTGTTTTTCTGTAGTAACTTCTGTGCACACGGTACTGTCAAATGTTTTGATGGAAATTTCACCCCAAACTTTGACGTTCTGCAACGATTTAAGACCATTTGATACTTGTAATTGTACATCAACTGTTTTCAATTCAGGATTAGTTTTTAGCTCTTTGATATATGAATGTTCCTTTTTGACATCCTTTTCGATCTCACGAAGAGCTAAAAATATTTGTAAATCTGTAGAATGACTTTTCATCTGATTAATGTTGTTAATTGCTTTTTCAACGTTTTTTATTTTACTATCTATTATAGACATAAAACCTTCAGCTTTTGTCTTGACCTCCTGCTGTTTGTCTCTTATATTTTTGTTCATTTCTAATTCCAAAGAGTCTAGATGACAGTTGATCTGTTTTCTAAGATCTGGTATTTCTTTCTGGTAGGTTTTAGTTTTCTCGTCCATATGCTTTAAGTTACTTCTTTTTTCGTCCATTATCTTTTGAAAAATGCTTTGAATTTCAGATAAATTTTGCTCAATATTTGTTACAGATGACGATGTTTTTATATTTTGTACAACATTTCGAAGGGAATCGATCTCACACTTTTTGTGATCTTCTTTCGCACATTTGACACAGCAAGGAGAAACATGGTTGGTACAATACAATTCATACTTCTCTTCGTGTACACTGCAGTGGTGTTTGATTTCAAGTGCAGATTGCGGCAGCTTTTGGTAGTCCCTAATCGATATTTTTTTATGATTCTTTGTTAGTTTCCTACGGCTGTGAAGATCGTCGCACTCAATACAAAAAGCTTCTTCACATTCGGAACACCACAATGCTGCTGGTTTAGAGATATTCTGGAGTTGACAGACATCACATAAGGATTCTGCTGTCGCCATCTGGCCTGTTATTAAGAAAATACCAATGTGTATCAAAGAAAATGTCAAAAGAAAAACTATTTCATAAGACACTTTTTCAAAACTAACAACATAATGGAATGCTTACTATAATTTGATATATAAGGCTTGAACTGTAGGTGTGCATTTCCAGTAAACTCACAAGCGCCTGGCTACTTTACGTTAAGAATGTGAATTGGTGGGCTTTCCGTTTTACAGAATTTGGAAGTCCTTCGGTTTATGGTCAATATGTCATGCCAGTTTTTTTTTCACATTTTTACCGTTGGTTAGCTTTGCCTTTATTTATTTTCTTGTACTATCTGCATGACTTGCATTCTGACATGCATGTCCATTAAAAAGAGAGAGAATAAACCATGGGACAACAGAAAATCTAATAAACAACAGCGAAAAGACAAAAAACAATAACAAAACATTATATCTTTGTTGACATATTTGTTTGTTTTTATAGTAATTGAGATTATAACACAATGTTGGCTGTTGTACCCCTATTTTTGATATTGGAGTTCGGTATTTTTGTTGTTTTACTTTTTACATAGAAAACTAAAGATTGAGCAACACGAACATCACCTAAACAGGATGCCTATCGAAATTTTTTCTTTCCGGGCATTTTAGTCTGATAGAAGTAGCGATTACAAAGGTGATGATAGTTGATCCAGTAACTATTAAGAGAAACGTAAGTCTTTTAACATGTGGTGTACGGTATCGTGTTTTTTAATTTTTTCTTATTTTTGCATATTTCATAATGTGTCAAATTTACCCAGACGAGAAGTTTTATTTGTGGGACAAAAGGCCTTTATGTAGATGCAAGAAGATGTGGTATGAGTGCCAATGAGACAACTCTCCATCTAAGTCTCAATTTGTAAAAGTAAACCATTATAGGTCAAAGTACGGCCTTCAACACGGAGTCTTGGCTCACACCAAACAGCAAGCTATAAAAGGCCCCCAAAAATGACTAGTATAAAACCATTCAAACAGGAAAACCTACGGTCTAATCTATATAAATAACGAGAAACGAGAAACACTTATGAACCACATCAACAAACGACAACCACTGAACATCAGCAAACAAATGCAGCGGATTTAAACGTTTTAATAGGCGCCAACCTTCACCCTACCTTAAACAGTAGTGTAACATCACAACATAGAAAGACACACTATAAAATATCAATTGAAATGGCTTAACTCAATCAAAAGACATATTAACAAAAACAAGTGAACATACACTAAACGAATAAATTTGATCTATGACAAAATGTAAATACAAAATTAATAAAACAAGGGGGTTAGATGTAAAACAATATCAGAAAGACAACTATAACCTTGGACAAAATAAATAACGTACACAGGTAAATAAAAATAATTTTGTTGTAAGGTATACATGGAGTACGGAAATAATTTTTTGTTCCTAGTACGAGAACAAAAGTGAAAATGTATCGTCATACTAAACACTTATCAAAGGTGGTATATATTAAAAATAGTGAGACTAGATATAACACTGAATAAGTAAACATTAAATAACAAAAATAATATTATATCAACAGGTCAAATTAACACGAAAGTGCGATTTGAGAGTACTCGCAGTTACTGAAAGCTAGTTAAAAGCCAAAATTAATTATTAATAAAAACCATGCATCAGAGACTAAAATAAACTAAAACACATCCCAGGGATTTAGCGTTTTAAAGTTATGGACAGTCAAAGAAGACATGACTTGTGCAATGCCAAAATAAAAGTATCGCCAGGCAGTAGGATAGTTAGGAGTTAACCTGTTAATAAATATGTATAATGTAATATATAGATAGAGTAATCTCTATATAGAAAATGAACGTGGATGTGTATTTATACATCCTAAAAAACCGTTTGAAAAGAATACAATTTTAGTTATGTTTTAATTTGCTGATGACAAAATCGATATTTGTGCCAATGTAAACTATATTCAAAGATCTAATTACAACATTGGTAAGATAACCTTTACTAATAAGTTTGTTTAAAGGTTCGATGAGTTTACACGGATCACATAGTGATTTCCGCGCTTTTAGTACAATATTACCGTAAAATTTAGGATGTGAAATACCGTTTTTAATACGTTTTCTACAGGTACAGACAAATTTACTAATCAAATCTTTGTATCTATGAAAGAATTTAGTAAAAGTTTATGAACAAAGTTCATACTTTTTTAAAAGAAATTTAAATTAGAATTTACAAATAAAAGAATTTTCCCAATGTTTTATTGAAAAAATTAATATAGTCAAGTTCATATTCATCTACGGTCGATAGTTTGAAACCTTTTATCATTAATCTTTATCCAATAGAAACGTTCGGGGTTTTTTTTACTTGTTTTTACGATTCTGAGGGTTCAAATTCTTCTTCAACCTATAGGTAGCTCGTAGTGGTTTTAATACAATTGTTTAATGGAGCATTCCTCTTTTTTTTTCTTTTTTTTTATGCTATAATTTGGTTAAACGTTTTTTTGAAGCTTGAAAAAGAGAGGAGAAAGATTTTATATTGAATTCCTCATTAAAATCATTCATATCTTGAAAGTGATGCAATACCATGCATATATAATTTTATAAAGAAAATGTTCTTACCCAACAGATGGTATTCATAAAGCCGACGAAATAATCGAAAATGTCTAGCCTAGTTATTCTTTTTAAGCCTAACAAGGAAGTTCAATATTCAAAGAGGTTATGTTATCGCATTTGTTAGCTGTACATTTACCTTTATCTATTCTGCTTGCCGCTTATCTCAGATTAACCACTGTGATTGGTGTCGTTGTTTAACGTCGAGATTCAAGAATTTAAACCTTCCTTTTTACGACTGCACCTTAAAATCATCACATTCATATGTTGTCCATATCACAAAACTATTAAATGCTTTATATCAAAATCAAATAAAGTCCAGCACTAATCTTCTTGCAGTGCCCAAGTTCTACTAGCATGATTAAATTTTATGATACATTGTTAAGCGGCAAATTGGTCTATATTACAATAAACCGAGTATTATTTATTTGCAAAAGATTGGATTTCGATTTTAAGAAATTTTAAAGTTGATTTTCCTTCATCTTCAGTTTTTAGGTTTTCCTGCCAAAAGAAGTTAATGGTGTTTGGGATCAACTTTTTCAATTTATTTTTGCAAGGATGATTGTCTACTTTTTTTAGGAATTTTTATTAACCAGCTTATGGAGTATTTGGTTTTATGGCTAATTAATTACATGCAAAGTCATATTCGATCGAGATTTTGTTCCCTATAACGTTTCTGAAAGACTAGTGTCAAGCTATCCAGCAATTCTCATCCTGCGATTCTCTTTATAAAAAACTATCCTGCAATTCGTCATCCTGCAATTGCGTTTGGCAAACTACTTGAGCGACAATTTTCTTTTTCTTTAAAATCATAGTTTTTGACTTTTTTGTTCGAAAACAAGATTTATATAGAAAATCAAAGATTTTTATATCCCATTAACAAAATTCTAACTTTAGTTTACAGATTTCTAAATCATATTTACGGTTTTGAAATTAGCATTTACAATTAAAAAAATCATGATGACGATTCATTCAAAGTATTATCTGTTAAGTCCAGGGTGTGATTCGTATTTACGAATGTTTAACCCACATTCGCGATTTTCACAACTCATATTAACGACTAAAAATATAGAATTTTGAGGTAAAATAATTTTTTGCATGGTATACCGACAATACAACTTCTATTTGAAACTTCATAACTCACATTTCCGACCCATTGCCTCGGCAGTTCTAGATCTGTATGGCTAGGGATTATGGACTCTGCTCTCATAAATAGCTATTGGCATGTACTTCAACGGGAGGGTGAAGAATTTCTGGGGTAAGCATTTTTAAAGGCCGAAAATTTCGTCCGAAACATGGAAATAAAGCCAAATTTGATAAAATACGCATTCGGGACACCTACTTTCCGACCCATTGTCTCGGTAGTTCTTTATGGCTAGGGATTATAGACGCTGTCCTAATGAACTATTGGATAGTACTACAACGTGATGGTAAAGAATTTCTGGGGTAAGCATTCTTAAAGGCCGAAAGTTTCGTCCGTAACACGGAAAAAAAGTCAAATTTGATAAAATATTCATTGGGGTCACCCACTTTCCAACCCATTGCCTCGGCAGTTCTGTATGGCTAGGGATTATAGACTCTGCTCTCATAAATAGCTATTGGATAGTACTACAACCTGAGGGTAAAGAATTTCTGGGGTAAGCATTCTTAAAGGCCGAAAATTTCGTCCGAACATGGAAATAAAGCCAAATTCGATAAAATACGCATTCGGGACACCCACTTTCCGACCCATTGTCTCGGCAGTTCTGTATGGCTAGGGATTATAGACTCTACTCTCATAAATAGTTATTGGATATTACTACAGCTGGAGGGTAAAGAATTTCTGGGGTAAGCATTCTTAAAGGCCGAAAATTTCGTCCGAAACATGGAAATAAAGCCAAATTCGAGTGTCTTTTGAATTTTGTCATTACGGGGCCTTTAATAGCTGACTATGCGGTATGGGCTTTGCTCATTATTGAAAGCCGTACGGTGACCTATAGTTGTCAATTTCTGTGTCATTTGGTCTATTGTGGAGAGTTGTCTCATTGGCAATCATACCACATCTTCTTTTTTATATTAAAATGTAGCACTCGGGAGCATTGGAAATCAAAATTTCCATAGTTACCAGGTTCTTTTTTCAGATTGGACAAAAAAATTAAGCCCTGTTTCAGTATCACTGGATAAGTTACTTTTCATCATAGATATCATTAGTATTTATGTGTGGCTTTGCAGAATGAAAGAGGATGTTGGTTATTCGTATATAAAGCAAACATCTCTACGTGTTCTTTGACAATTGACAAATGCGTATATGAAAATAAGGAGATGTGGTATGATTGCCAATGAGACAACTATCCATCAAAGTTCAAATGTTACATGTTTTAACTAAGGAACTCGTTTTACTCATTATACGCAAATTTTGAGAAAACTATCTAGATGGACTACTCAAATATAGATTATATGGGAAGCGTGATGGGTTCCGATTTTTTTTTTAAATTTCAACATCATTTTTTAATATCCTCTGACCCTATCTTCACAATTGGGTTTAAGTTCTAAGCATAAGATAATATGCAAGCCTGAAGATTATCTTCTTTTTGGGGATTTAACAAATAAACGAATGAAGATCTCTCAACTATACGGAGACCAACCTTTTGCAAAAGAGAGAGATGTAATACAAATACAGGTGATGCATGAATACACAGCTACATATAAATGGAACTATTGAGTGCACTCTCAATTGTCATTAAGCGGATTTTGCACCTTGCTCTCACTGTGACATTTTAAGTGTAGGTCAAGGTAATTAATTGCCTTATTGTGTCCGTGAAATACTTCCTTAATGTCATATATTACTATCAACATAACCACAATTTGTCCTTTCTAATTATCAAGTTAAAGTACATCATTTGAATCGAACCAAGGAACATCAAATACAATTTGGCTGGTTCATTTGTATTCATTTAAAAGACCCTCTCTTAATCTTGCTGCAAACAGATACGGAATACTGGTATGTTAGCGAGCGACACAAGCACAGCCAATTGGCTATTGAAAAATATGCCCTTTAATATCAACAAATTTGGTGTCACTCACAGCAAAACTGTTCCACGAAAAAGTCATAGACTTTATGTACCAGTTTCCATGTTATTAAAAAAACTGATGTCAAAACGTATTCAGATGTATTAACTGAATCTTTTTTTCATTCTAGCTTTAATGTTTAAAACGTGTTTTAAAAGATATATTAACTGAATATTTTTATTTTACCGTGGGGCATTCTAGCTTTAAACACAAAGATATCAGATAATCAATACAGACTATGGTAATCTGTAATAAAACAGAAAAACATTTCTTTATAGCTTACAAACCTGAATACGTTTTTTTTTCACATCAGTTAACTACTGTTGCCTCTAATTAGACGTTATTGTCATCTGTTGATACAATTATCAAGTCATCAGGAAGTACATCCTGCATTTAATGCTGCACCTAATGTTTCGATCAATAAATCAAAGCCAGTCAATTGAAAAATCAAGTAAAATCGAATCTATTGAGAGAACGAGAAACACTTGGTAAATATTTCACCAAATAATGGCACTAAAGTCAACATTCTTGACCCTCAGAGATGATATCAAATAAGGCAGTATATTCTTCTTGACATACCCTCAGAGATGATATCAAATAAGGCAGTATATTCTTCTTGACATACCCTCAGAGATGATATCAAATAAGGCAGTATATTCTTCTTGACATACCCTCAGAGATGATATCAAATAAGGCAGTATATTCTTCTTGACATACCCTCAGAGATGATATCAAATAAGGCAGTATATTCTTCTTGACATACCCTCAGAGATGATATCAAATAAGGCAGTATATTCTTCTTGACATACCCTCAGAGATGATATCAAATAAGGCAGTATATTCTTCTTGACATACCCTCAGAGATGATATCAAATAAGGCAGTATATTCTTCTTGACATACCCTCAGAGATGATATCAAATAAGGCAGTATATTCTTCTTGACATACCCTCACAGATGATATCAAATAAGGCAGTATATTCTTCTTGACATACCCTCACAGATGATATCAAATAAGGCAGTATATTCTTCTTGACATACCCTCACAGATGATATCAAATAAGGCAGTATATTCTTCTTGACATACCCTCACAGATGATATCAAATAAGGCAGTATATTCTTCTTGACATACCCTCACAGATGATATCAAATAAGGCAGTATATTCTTCTTGACATACCCTCACAGATGATATCAAATAAGGCAGTATATTCTTCTTGACATACCCTCACAGATGATATCAAATAAGGCAGTATATTCTTCTTGACATACCCTCAGAGATGATATCAAATAAGGCAGTATATTCTTCTTGACATACCCTCAGAGATGATATCAAATAAGGCAGTATATTCTTCTTGACACCCTCAGAGATGATATCAAATAAGGCAGTATATTCTTCTTGACATACCCTCAGAGATGATATCAAATAAGGCAGTATATTCTTCTTGACATACCCTCAGAGATGATATCAAATAAGGCAGTATATTCTTCTTGACATACCCTCAGAGATGATATCAAATAAGGCAGTATATTCTTCTTGACATACCCTCAGAGATGATATCAAATAAGGCAGTATATTCTTCTTGACATACCCTCAGAGATGATATCAAATAAGGCAGTATATTCTTCTTGACATACCCTCAGAGATGATATCAAATAAGGCAGTATATTCTTCTTGACATACCCTCAGAGATGATATCAAATAAGGCAGTATATTCTTCTTGACATACCCTCAGAGATGATATCAAATAAGGCAGTATATTCTTCTTGACATACCCTCAGAGATGATATCAAATAAGGCAGTATATTCTTCTTGACATACCCTCAGAGATGATATCAAATAAGGCAGTATATTCTTCTTGACATACCCTCAGAGATGATATCAAATAAGGCAGTATATTCTTCTTGACATACCCTCAGAGATGATATCAAATAAGGCAGTATATTCTTCTTGACATACCCTCAGAGATGATATCAAATAAGGCAGTATATTCTTCTTGACATACCCTCAGAGATGATATCAAATAAGGCAGTATATTCTTCTTGACATACCCTCAGAGATGATATCAAATAAGGCAGTATATTCTTCTTCCTAAAGCATTTTTCTATTACTAAGCTGTAAGTGCAAGTTCAGTTCTTTGCTTTGCATGTGTTTAATATTTGTATATTACGATGGCAAACCGAATATTTAAAGGAGGGAACCAACCTAGATGTGATGTGACTTACATCAAGCAACATATGACAACAGTGTATGCACAGAGACATGAAAATCTGCCACCTTCCTACTTAAATAGTCAAATAGACTTGGAAACATTATTTTTTTATTAGTTGTTATTGACTTTGAACTAGCTGTCAGTAACTGTTCAGATCTGCACTTTGTTTTTGTTTTTAGGGATGTATGAAAATCTGCCACGTATGGTCCGTGATTTTGTTAGAGATGTTTTTCTGTTTTGTATTGATTTGATGAGTTAAGCCCTTTTCAACTGATTTTTATTGTTTGTTCTTATGTTGTACTGTTACACCACTGTTCCAGGTTAGGGGAGGGTTGGCGCTTCAAACTAGTTTAACCCCGCCACATTCTATATGTACCTGTCCCAAGTCAGGAGCCTATAGTTCAGTGGTTGTCGTTGTTTCATATGTGTAATATTTGTTTTTCTCATATTGTTTTGGTTTAAATTGGGCGGTAAGTTTTCTCAATTGAATTGTTTCATAATTTCCATGTCAGAGCCTTTTATAGCTGACTATATGGCATGGGTTTTTCTCATTGTTGAAGGCCGTATGGTTGCCTATAATTGCTTACATCCACTTCATTTGAACTTTGGTGGATAGTTGGCAATCATACCACATGTCCTTTTTTTTATATATAGACTATATTTCATGGTTCACTGTCAATTTTCAAGCATTTGGTTTGCACAACCAAGGATCGACCCCACTATCTGTTTTCATTATGACAAATTCTGTATAGCACTTTCAAGTTCTTAGCAAAGTCAGCAAACTGTGAAATGCCTGTCATATAAACTCTATTTAAGAAGTGTTCAGGAAGTATCAGAACTATTAATCGTAAAATATGTTATCTCTAGTCCAACTTGATATCTCACAGGAAATGTATTGCTTCTGTTTTTTCTTTTTTTTCAACTTATAAACAGCAGGGGACCAGATATATACTGGTGTAAGTCAATTGAAACCAATCATGGAAATAAAAGCAAACATAGTTTGGTTCAGAAAATGTAAAACAAAGAAAGATAATTCATGAAATTTTTATTCAGGCAAGATGACTTTTTGATAATACTTAAAAATTTTAAGTTGAATTCTCTTTTCAACAAACAAAACAATAACTAGATTGTAGAATAGAAATATAACAACACACATTGAAGATAAATAATTACAAAGGCTTAACTTAAACTTCCTTTAGAAAAAAGGGAAGTAATTTGTCTGAAATATAGCTTTTGGAAATAAAACCATTAAAAAAATCTTTTAACTTTTAATCTTCATTGCCTGTAAGATTCTTTAAATGCTGCATTATCTATAAAAAAAAAGAAAAAAGAAAACAAAAATGTCTTAATGTGGAAAGGATCCAAAATACCATTTGTTTTATTTTTAAGTATACTATTCAAAAGCTATCTTAAATAGTTAAATAATATTAAAAAAATATATCACTATATTTTTTAATTGAAGACCAATTTATATTCCAATGGGAATAACTACAACTGTTAACATATGTCAATTTTGTATTTGTGACAGAACTTACAATACTTCATAGATTAAAAACAATCTTTTCATGCTAAAAATTATGTACTATTCTTGTACCTTTCATTTTAACTATTTGCTATGAAAACCAATTACTATTGAAAACAAAAAGAAAACTACTTTCTTTGTTAATTTAAACATTTACTTTAGGCACAAATCTGTCAAATATTTAACAACCTATAGTACACATAACTCACAAACAATTGGATGTAAACAGCTTTATTATCACACATTATTTCTTTGTAAGAAATACGAAAACAAAAATAACAGTTTTATTTCTACATTATACCCATTCTCCTATGTATTGACTACTGTATTTGAAGGTACAACAAAATCACAAATTTAAAAGTTTTGGTTCATTCATGGTTAGGATATTACAAAAATAACATAAAATTTTCATTTGAAATGAAGAAAAAATATTAATTAAATGAACCAAGATTGGTATTGTAACTTTGAGTCATATATATATATAGGATGGTTTGTACAGATGAAAAACTTTCTACTTTCATAAATAAAATAATTATATTTATAACATTTTCTATTTTTTTAAGTTTAGTCCCAAATAAGCCTCAGTATGTCAAATTTGTGTTTAGTATTATGCAGCATGCTCCTTTGAATAAAATTCAATTAACAAAGAACTTTTCACAGCATTTTAACATGACTAGGATTTCCAGTGTGTGAATTCTTTATAATCATTCTCAGGAAGCCATAACATTTACAAATAAACAAGTGTATTATATAAATAATAACTTAGTCATACACAACTATACATATGTACAACCTTGTATAATTCGTTTACAATTAAAGTGTTATCAGGTCATTTTAATGCAAATTTGTAAAATAACAACCTTGACAATTAGTGGGAGACTATTTTTCAATTATTGTACCTTGTACAGGCTATTGAAAATAATTCCTTGAATGAAATCAAAACGTCTGAGTTACCTCCCTTAGCACATCTTTTTTTTAAAACTTTTAAAAAAGTGAAATCCTTCCATTACATCATTCGAAAATCTCAAAAGAGACATTAGCTGTCAAAATGAGCATCTGGTGCAGTTAAAATGGTATCATTTATATTATTAATCCCTATACAAAAATAATTGACACAAATCTATTTGAGTAGTATAGCAACAGTAACAGTTTTAAATGTACACTTTAAAAAATTCTACTCCTGTTTTTTGTTGGTCTAAAACAAATTACAGAAAATGATTTTTCCAAGATTGTGTGTCAGATATGACAATAGTACTCTTTTAACAGGAATTCATGAGGTCAACTCTTACACAAATTTATTACCCAGATTGCAACAAATCTTAACCATTGCATTCCTACAATTCCTTAATATATATATAACATATGTACACTTATATCACATAGAACCACACATATCCAGTTGGCACATTTGTAATCTGATTAAAGACTGATTCAGTGGATTACAATCAATCAAATTGTCATAACACTAACAACCAACCATATAATTGGTCAGAAATATAGATAAAGTAGATACCTATCCAATCATATCACAGAATACAAGAACAATGTCAGATATTTCTCTTTTCTAGATGAAAATTGTTTAATTTTAGACAGTACTTTCTGATAGTAATAGAACTATTTTATTTCCATTCTTACCCCAATCTACCAGGTTAGAAATATCCTTTATTCTCCAAAAAGAAAATTTAAAGACTAGACTTTAGGTCAACTAACAGGTCTGCCAATTTTCAGCCAAAATGTTTTTACTACATCATGACTAGGAGTTAAAACTAGTACACACACAACCATACACAATGTCTCATGTTTGTAGTTCTTTTTTTTAATCCAATGGATTTACATTTATGTATACATCAATGGGTATAATACATGAACTATTGGTAAACATTTTACATTGTACAACAAAACAAGCACTATATTGTGACTATAATGAATGGATTTTCAATTTAGCACAGTGGTTTCATTAAGACTTTGCAAATATAAAATGTGACCTTTTAGAGTAGTTTATCTAAATCTGTAATACAATAGATACATTAAAGATAAAATTTGCAAAAATATAAATGTCAAATTTTGGAACAAAGATTACAGTATTGACAATAACAACCTAATCTTATATCTGATAGAATATTGCTGTTTTTTCTTCATGACTTTGCTGTTAATGATCTGTACTTTCCACATGATGCTTCAGTTTGATCTCTAAGATGATCATTGCAGTAGCTATATATGTTTACTATGATGAAAAGGTTTACTGACATATAACTTCTACCTCCAAACTTTACACATGTCAAAGTGTACACATAAGTTTTTCGGTAATCTGTTCGGTCCTCACCCTTGTACAACACAAACAACAAGTGACTGGTAAAATGTTTGATTTCTTTTTTCCATTCTAATTGTGTATCAGTAGATACCAGTTCAGGAATTAATGCACATTTTGGTTTGTACACCGAAGCAAGGACTACATTCAACAATAGCACAAATGCATGTTAAATCATCATTTTTTAAGAGCTTCCATCATTGATGTAAAGTCTGATAATCTCTGATAGTCGGGATCCTCGTCCTTTTCATCTTTATCATTGTCTTTGTACGTAGGATTTTTAGATTTATGTGGCAGTCTTAAGGTACACGGTAACATCTCGGGCATAACTGTATGATGAGTGACTAGAGCTAATAAATCTGGCCATTCTTTATCTAAACCCTGAAAAATAAATTAATTTAATATAAAACGCTACTAAAGAGTTATGTCTTGTTATTCTTTTAACTCAGACATTATTTTTCTTTTTTTCAAGATACGTACTCTTTCTTTTCTGCTTTGTTTGGATGAAATAACCTTTTCACATCCTTTATGTGCCGGTCCCAAGTCAGGAGTCTGTAGCTCGTTCTTGGTTCATGTCTGTCATATTTGTTTTTCACATATTGTTTTGATATAAATTAGGCTGTTTTTTTTCTTGGTTGGATTCTTTCACATATTTCATGTCTGGGCCTTTTAAAGCTTACTATACAGTATGTGTTTTCCTCATTGTTGAAGGTTGTATAGTGGCCTATATCTTCTTATATCCACTTCATTTGAACTGTGGTGGATAGCTGTCTCATTAGCAATAATACCACATCTCCTTAATTTTATATTTATAATGAATAAAAGGTTTCAAAATTTTCATATATTATAATTTGTATTAATATCTATAATATTTTTTTATCGTTTCAATTTTAATAATAACAAAATTCCTACAGCATCTGTTGAATCACTTATTTCCATGTTCAAATAATTTATCCCTTGATATCACAAAATGTAATCCAATAATTTTAATTTCTTCTCCATTTATTAAATATTCTAGTCTGTCAAAGGAATTACATGACCTACAGGTCAAGCCAAACCACAAAGAATGAAATAAGCTGAATTTTTAACAATTTGTTCCTTTAGTATGATTAAATAGCGAGGTAAATCAATATCCATATTCAATATGACACCTTGCAGGTAACAAAATAGTAGATAAGAATCTATTATTTCCATGGTGACAATCCTACAAGCAGTTTTACTGAATATTTGATAAGTTATTCCATATACAACAGTAAGGGTATAATACCAGTTTAAGGTAACACTACAAATTTTTATGAAGTAGGGAGGGTCTTTTGGTCAAAATAATTTTTAATGAATTATTAATTATATAAAACACATGAACATTAGAATCTATTTTGTGAAGAAAAAAAATGATTACGAAGTTGCTATAAAAAAAGTTCGGTATGGCAAACCTTAACAAATAACTATGAATTCTCATCATCTATTTTTGGTTTCAATTAAATAGGGAATTTTTGAAATGCTACAATTATAAAAACACATCAGGAAATTTTCACATTTTAACGGAACAATAGGCATAGATGATTGGCATTCAGAATGTGTGGTTATATCTTATTGAAATGCAATCTTGTTATAAATTGTGATCTGTCAGAATTGTTTTTCTCGGAATTTGTCATATTTTTTTTCTTTAATATTATCTCAAATAACACTGAACTGCTTGAATGTAATTCCATATTTTACTTGTATTGTGACTTGTTCCTTTGATTTTAAATATTTTTGAAATATAGTTAGTTTCAATGTTGTTTTAATTTTTTTTTAATTCATATAAACTTAAAGCTAAAGAAAATGCCTAATTCTATTGCAAAAGGAAACATTTTTAGCTGCTTTATTTATTCCTGTTTAGTCTGATTGGCCCTTAGGTTTCAAAGATGAAATCTTGATTTTGTATATGATTCCATGGGAATGTCACCATGTTTGCCAACAAATCATTACAAAATGAGGACTCTCTGTAAGGGTGGAAACAATTTGCTTATCTATTTTTTAATTGGATCAAACAGAAATAAGGTTGTTCTTAGATGTGTGTGGATTCAAAGGAGGAATTTTTATAGAGCCTTCTATTCATTATTCTCGCAAAGATTGGTTAAGTCTTGGTCCATGTACTTATGACATGAAAATATGATTTTTATTCTAGTTATACAAACTTCAGTTGTTGTGCCAGGGACTTTAAACAGTATAGGCTTTGCTCATTGTTGAAGGTCATACAATGGGTGACTTATAATTGCTTGAATCCACGTTTTTTTTTTTAATCTATTGGAAAATTGTCTCATTGGCAATCATACCACATCTCCTTAATTTATATTCATGACTTTCACATATGATTTTGGATATGATGCCATATGATTATATGTAATTGTCTATGGAGCCAATTACTCCTGATACTTACTTTTAACTTGACTCCTCTCTGTGTCTTTAATATAAGATAATGTGAGATTCCTGTTGGGTTGTCATATTTAGGTACTCTGACCGACAGAGCGTAACATCCTGGATGTGTCGTACTATCACGTACTATGAAAGAACCAATATCTTCTTGCTGTAGTATCTCTAAGGCGATTTCTCTACAAAAGAATAAAATTTAGGTAAAAATTAGTCCTACTCTAACATGACCTTTGAGGTCGTTCTCTAAGGAGATTTGATTTCTCTAGAAAAGACTAAAATATAAATACAAACTAGTCCTCCTCTAACATGACCTTTGCTGTCGTATCTCTAAAGTAATTTCTATACAAAAATAAATTAAGTACACAAGTCCTCCCCTAACAAAGTCTTTTTTCAGTAACAGTTTCAATGCAGCGCATTTCTTTGTAATTAAACCCCTTGTCATGTGGTATTCAGAAAAGTGTCCCTCCAGTAAAGTTGTCCTTTAAAACAGTTTAATATCTGAGTATGTTAGTTGACATCAATTGACCATTTTACTGTTGCAAATTCAGTCTCATGGCGGACTTGAGGGGTTAACTTATACAATATGTCTGTGTTACAAATAAACAGAAATATGTTAAGAGCCTTCCAATACAGTTACAGGGGAGGTAATAATGTTGCTAATGTAAAATGTTATTTTTCGCGACGTCAAAACTGTAAAATATTGGGAAAAGATGCATTTTTCGACTGATTTTAATCAATAGCTTGGAAACGAGTACATGGACCCCTCTTTTTTAAAATGACATTTGGTTTGATTATGTATGACGAATATGTGTATCATTTTTTATGAAGAAACGCTGATGAATTTTAAAAAAATTGGATAAATATACAGCAAAAAATGCCAGTTTTTTCTAAAATCATGAAAAAAATAATGAAAACAAATTATTTCCAAAGAATTGTTACACAAACTTAGGGTATACTTATGTAAAAATGATATTCCAAATGTTTTTACAAAAATCCGCTTGTGATTACCTTTTGAAACAAAAAAGTTAGGTATGTCTGTTCAAAGGATAAAAATGTTCAAGAAACCGAAATTTTGAGTAAATGTCTAAAATTTCGACCCCATTTATCACTAAAAGTAGTACATGAAGGTATATTTTTTATAAAATATTTGGATTGACTAGGTTAAAAATAGCTTGTATGCACATTTTCGTCAAAAAAATCACCGTGGGATCAAAAACTGTATCGTATGCCCTTAAGTTTGTTTAATGTATTGCTGGGCAAAATTTTTTTTTCTATCCTTCATAAATAACAATACAAGTATTGCCCCACTGTGCCACACTGCCTACCAGGCATTCTGGAACAACCTGACTCATTCTTAGTTCTTACAAGAACATTTTCATATTAGTTCATTATTTGTCAGTGTGTTTTCCATTGGTCAATATAGTGTGTTTTCATTATTTGTCACTGTGTGTTTTCCATTGGTCAATATAGTGTGTTTTCATTATTTGTCTCTGTGTGTTTTCCTTTGGTCGAAATAGTGTGTTTTCATTATTTGTCACTTTTCATATTATTTCATTATTTGTCAGTGTGTTTTCCATTGGTCAATAGTGTGTTTTCATTATTTGTCACTGTGTGTTTTCCTTTGGTCAATATAGTGTGTTTTCATTATGATTGACAGTAAGTTCAAGGTTTTGACTGTTGGACAAAAATTTCATCCAAACTTCACCCATAAATTTCTAGTTCATTCTCACAGAAGTTATATATATTTTCTCCCTAAAGCTGATGAGTTTGTATTATTCATATAAATGAAATGTTTATCCCCATTATATAAAGATGTGTCATTTTCTAGAGGTCATTTATTCAAGATGAAAGTAACACATCTATAAATCAACAGAATGTTTCCCTTCTAGACATGCCTGTATCATTTGCTTTTTCCAGTAATTCAACCAGAAAAAAAATAAAGGGAAAAGCTCAGATTTTAGCATTACTCTTTTATGTATCTGCAAACATTTTAATCTCTGCATCACAATTGACATTTGTTTACCCTTTTTTGGACCCCTTTAATAATAATTCATCATTGAATTTTACAGTTATTTTTTAAAACTTTTGGCTCAAAGTATTTCTGATGAAAAGTAATGCTGAAGAGTGCTTCTCATGTAAAAATTTCTATCTATTTAATATATCTAAATATCTATTTAGTTACATTTTTAAACAGGTGTTGTAATCTGTATGAAAGTCTGAACAACATACAAGGTTTTGTGTGGTCTGGAAGTTTTAACTAGTGAAAAATAACCTTAATACATGAGGACAAAAAAGCTATGCATTATAAGACAAGAGTATTGTAGTCTTTAAAAATATTGGAACCTTTTATAGCTTACTAAGCAGTATGCGTTTTGCTTATTGTTGAAGGCCATATGGTGACCTATAGTTGTTAACTTCTCTGACATCATTTGGTCTCTGGTGAAGAGTTTTCTCATTGGCAATCATATCACAGCTTCTTATTTTTTTTATTTAACATGTTTCATGTAATATCATGATGTAGTATTAAAACCTGGTATGTTAGCATATCTTTTATAGACCCTGTTAAATTTATCGAATACTTTCATAAACACATATATATCATAGAATGAAACAAATATTAATTACAGATGTATCAATTCATGACACAAAATCATTAAGCACACATGAAAAAGAAACACCAAAAGCAAAGGAAAAGTGCTATTATTGCTGTTCTTTGTCGCAAAGTCACAGTGAGACCTTTAACATGGAGCAAACACTATCAACTCCCTTCAATTTCAAGACGGCTTTAAGCACTGGTCTGAGTCATATATTTTACTAGATGTATATTGCCTGTTGTTTAATCTAGATGTCTTTTTTTTTGTATTGTTGGGTTGCTGTCTCATTAATGTAAACCCAGTATCCCCTTTAATTAACACTACAATAACTAATTTGGCCAATATTACCTTGGTATTCCTGCTTGATACCAGGAGGCATGGCGTAATGTTTCATCTTGTATATGACTTCTGTCTAGTCCCATCAAAGCTTCCAGCCTGAAATATAAAGGTAACATATTAAACTGTGAAAACTTCTATCCATGATAACCTGGATCATCCTTTTCACATAAAAGGTTTTGTGAAACTGTCTTGACATCTCAGTCAGGTAGCTAATACAATATATGTATAAACATTTTATTATGAGAAACCTGTAAATCATCACAAATAAAAGTAGGACCTTAGAAGGAGCACAATGTTGTTATCTACATCTCAGTCTGTTGTTTACAAGAAATTGTGGAGTGCTTTTAAACTATCAACGGACACAAAGATCATTATACCCATGTTTCATTATAAGGGGACTAAAACAGTAAAATTTTTAATGTAAAACCTAGCACGACAATGAAGAGTGAACTTATAGCTCTCTCATAGTTTTCACTCTATTTTCGTAGAATTTTCTTCATATATAATACAAATGCTCAACTTAATAAAAGGATCACTTTATATATACCCTACAACCCAGTAGATATAATTGATTATTGCCTTGAAGTTGCCAACTTCCCTTCAAAAGCAACATTTATATATAGGCTTCAATGATAAATGAGATGACAAGAGAATTTCATCAGATTTATAATTATACCATGCTTGGGTAAAATGTTAATTGATTTATGAACACCACACATACATTATATATGCTGATGAAGAACAATTGTTCTCCTAGAAATGTAAGCAAATGTTCAAATAAGCACAAGGCAAAAGACTGTGAGTCGGATTGAGGACTTGGTAAATATACACTGCTGCATGATATTGCATAGAGGCAGTTTACCATATATCCGACGACCTCTACGCAATAAGGAACATGTATTATGGAGGAAACTGCCCACACAGTGTGCACTAAAGGTCAAAGGTCAAGAAAAGGACATATTAGCAAGTTTTGACCAATGTTTGGACAGTAATGACTGGAGTTATTATTCAGACAAAGACATAAAAAATTCATTCATAATCTCCTAAAAAATAAGTTTATAAGTCAGAATAAAAGTTACAAGAAGACTAACCTGCTTTTAGGGTTTTTATATTGTGATCTCCTTTGCATAGATCTAGCATTGTGTGGTTCATTTCTCACAAAAAAATAGGCCATAGGAATATACATTATCCTACATGTCACTTGAAATAAAACACAGAAAAGTTTGGTACTTTGTCAACAACTTATACTTCCACACCTGTTTCTAATGCAAAATAATATAACTTTGTAATTAATCCTTTATCATCTCTCTAAGGTGGCATTGTTCAATTAACAATATTTTGTTAATTAATAATCAGATGTAACATTCCACAGATAAAATACTTCCAGTTTTACATAATCATAGAGAGATAATACTGCTAAGGAATGTCCAATAACATAATATTTCTCCTCTACCACTCCTCACTTGGAAAATGAAAATATAATATGTCAAGAAATATCAGGGCACCAGTATAACTGAAGCTTTATAAATATAAACACTACTTATGTGCAAAAATGGTCAAAATTTAATTTTTTTATTTGATTTAAAATCTTCCACTTTTACACAGGTCAAAGTAACGTTGCGGTGAGAGAATGACCAGTTTTTTTCTTAACATTGATAAAAATTATAATTATTCATATGATATATCCTTGGAAAAATAAAAGTCACATTATAATCTTAATGTTTTGTAAAGTTAAAATTTCCATTTAAGTATAAAATTCCCGAAAATCCAACTGACGCTGTGTGTGATGTATTTTTTTCCTTAAGTATGCAGAATGACGAAACATTGGCGTTATCTCTAGACAGTAACATCCGTTAGGTATGTGCAGATTTGACAATCCAGGTAAGTCACAGGTAATTAATGAGGGTATAGGTAAATATAATTACATCTGACTCAATGTTCATACATCATCAACCAGACTTCTAAAGATGTTCTCTGTCAAACTTTAACCATAGATACAACACTGATATCATCATAGGTCAAACTTTTAACATTATAACAACATTAATATTGTACGTGCATTACATTGTGCAATGAAAGAAATATTTGTACATAGACTGCAGAGGAATGATGTATTAAATAAGGCTAAAATACATTAAAAAAAAACATCGGTTTTCCTTACACTTTGAAAGTATGCTGTTCTTGAGGAATATTCTCAATTTAGCAAACTTCAGAGGAAATACATAAAACAATAACAAGTTTAAGGTCTATTACAAATCCAACATCCTACTAACCTTGATGATAAGTACCAAACAATACCATTTTTTTCAATGTTTTATCAATTGATTCCATTTTACCATGTAAACATGAAACAGAGGGACATAAAAGTATGATGTCATTATTTAGATAATGAGACTTTTATGTAAATATTTTCCCTTAGTAGACAACCATAACATTGAACATCAAATAATTAATTGATGTACTAAAAAGGAAAGTCAACTTCCGTCTTTCATTATACTTCATGTTACAGAAAACATTAATAAATGATCAAACTTCTAAAATTTCGTTAGCTGTTCAGCTTCAACCATATTTTTCTGACTTATTATACATCATATGTATCAATTGAGGGCTTCAAAATTGTTTTCAGCCTTAAGATGTTTATTACTTTTGGAATTTTACAAATCAAATGTCAACTGTTGAAAAAGTGAAATGTCAAGTGTTCAAAAATATTCTCTGAAATGAAAATTAAAGTCCAGGACTTTTGGATTTTAGAAATTAAAGATCCACCTTTCAGCTTTTACTTTGGAATAAAAGGTCATATCTGACACTCCATTGATTTGGTCACCTGATAATAATATCATGTATCTTATATATGCATATGAAAAATCATATATTATTCAAGAAGCCAAACAGTCACTGTTATTATTTTTGTTTCATTTAGAAACAAAATACCGAAATACCGGTAGTGAATTATTAAAGGTTCTTTTCCTGATATTTTTTTCCTACTAAATATTACATGTGAAATAAGATACATTCCTTTAAGCTAAATGTCAATTTATGTTTTTACTTTTTAAATATAATATTGATTTTGAAGTCTATGTTAAAATTGACACTCGGGACAATATAAATAATATCTGAAAGTCACTACTGCTAATTCCAGAATCTAGAAATCTAGTTAATGCTCCAAAATATATATGAAACTTGAAAAACTTAGGATGTTTTATTCTCCTTCAAATATGGTGTTGTAATGCAGTTATAATTAAGCAGGAATTCATAACACAGAAACTCACTTCCTTATCTTTAGAATTCTAATTATTATATTTTATGAATGGGTAAATTATGATTTACAATCATTGAAGTATTCCAGGGTTATCTTATAAAACAAAGTCTTTATTCCCAAGGTTTAATGAGATAATATGGGTACAACACTAAATAATGAAATTCCTGTATTACTAATTTCAAGCAATATTGGATAAACTGATTGTTTTATCTGGGTGTATATGAGAACTTATAATTGTGTATCTATTCAGGGCAGATATAATCATTATCATGCAATAGAATATTCCTTCCTATAGATTTTACTAATCAACTTTGAAGCCTGGTTTGATAAATTCAAAGATTTCAGAAGAATTTTAATATGCAAAAGTACATCTTGCTTCTAAATAGAGCCAACATCCCCATCTAAAACCTATTAGGAAAGTTACAACAGTTAACTGTTCCCTACTGATTCACAAAATAAATAATCAGACCACAGAGGTAGTTATATCCAACTTTTGTTTTTAGTACATGATTTCCTCTGAGCTAAGATTCTAACACACATAAAAATAAGGAGATGTGTGATAAGGAGATTGTGGTGACATGGATGTAAGCAAATATTATAAAATGTCACCTTAAAACCTTGAACAATGAGGGAAAACCCATACCATATAGTAAGCTATTAAAAAGGCCCGAACATGACAAAATAAAAATCAATTTAAACAAGAAAACCAAAAGCCATATTTATGATACAACCATTAATGAGAAACAAAATAACAGACAGAAATCAGTGATCCACTGAGTTACAGGCTCCTGACTAAGTGGGAAAGGCACATACAGAACGTTGCTTCAAGCATTCATTTCTTATGTGCTGCTAACATGCATCATTTACAGCAGAATATCATCTTGAAAGTTCAACATCTTTGCAAACAGTAAAATAATAACTAAAATTTCGAAAATTATGATATATTTGACTCCAATACAAAAGGGGGTAATGACTGTAATAATAATACCACATTTCACAACAAATAATATAAAAGGAAATATTCATCAATGGAAATCAATTTCTGTACAATTTATCTTATTGAGCATTACCATTCCACCACGCTTCACATATTCACTTCAAACAAATGTCAAAATTAAAGGAACTTTTTTTTTATATTTTAACACTTAAAACCTCAGTACCATAACATTATCAATTATAACATAAATGATCGAAAAAACTCAAAACTGCTCCTAGGTTAAATTGAATGGAAATTTTAATTGTTGAGTATTTAATTAACATAATGTTCTAGTTACATTGTGAGGTGAGATGTTTGGTATGATGAATGGAATAACACACATCAAAGACCTCAAAGTCTCTTCAAAGTAAAAGAAAATTGTTTGAAAGTGAAATAAAACAAAGAATTTTGTTCCATGAGAAATTCTTGTACAATGTAGTACTTTGGTCTAAATAAACATAATGCTGAACACCTGATTTCAAAAGTTTACTATACAAATTCCAGCACAAAAAAAATACACCAAAAAAAGCAAAAAAGCACAAATCTAATTAGGCTCAGTCTCAACGGTTATTTAAACAAGCATTCTGTGAGTATTGCATGGCAATACATAGTCCCCTACCGGTTAAAAATTCATTGTAATGGAACGAAATTCTAACTTGATCTATAACTTGTCGTGGTGTAAACTACATAAAATAACAAACAAACCTACCACTAAATTCTTCAAACAATTTACTAAAGAAAAGGAAAAAAATCCAAAATGTCATTTATCTTAATACAATGTCTTTTACAAATCTTTTAGAAAAATGAGTTATTTCCCTTTGAACAGAAATCTAATAAGTATTTCATCAAAAATTTTATTCT